AGCGTGCCAGCAGGCATGGGGGCTTTGGGCTGGACCCTCGGTTTCAGCCTCCAAGAAAGTGGAGGGGGTACCACAAGAGCTGAAATGCCACCTTTCTCCTCTCCATCATCCACAGTGCGGTGCCTGTTTGGGCCCGGACCATGCCAGCATAAGTAAACTGGAGTGTGAGCTCTGCTCCGTTTAAAAACACAGCCTGCGCACAGGGCTTAGTCTGAACGGAGCAGCTTCCAGCCTCGGGGCTGGAGGGACGAGCAGAGAAGCACTGCCCGCTGCATGTTTGCCCATGCTATGTGAAGGACAGGAGTTAACAGGCAGGTTTCTGTGCATGAAGCCGTGCTTAATGTAAAATAATTGCATGGCTGTCATACATAAGCTAGCTTTAAAGAGATTCATCTAATCCATGTAATTGGGGAGAATGATCCTGATGGAAGAAATGAGAAGCTGACACCTTAAAACTTAGTGCGAAGCAGCCGCTGAAGTTAATGTTTTCCCCTTCTCCATACACAATCTTCCTCTCTCTGTCTGAGATGCTCCGAGGGGCCCGAGTGACACAGTCCCCACGAGCAGTGCTAGCAGCATACGTATAATTCCCCCCTCCCTTGCTGAAGTGTACTTCAACGTGTGCCTGCAATTACCGCATCCGAAACGACGGGTGGGTATGTGCCGGCTAGCGGAGATTGTCGTGGCTGCCTGAAAATACGGTTCAGCTTCTCTGTAGCGTTTGCTTGGTTGCCCTACTGTCTGTACAATGACAGCCATTTCCTGAAGGGGTGGTTAAAGAAGGGTTTACCCAGCATACTGCAGAGCTGCCGTCCTCCTCTGAGGGCCGCCGGACGCGCTGGGGGTGCAGGGGAGACGCGCTGGCTACGGGAGCGGCCACCGCTGCGGGCTGACCCCCAGCCCCTCGGGAATTAACGGGCAGGCCTGGGAAATACCCAAGAGCTGGTCACCGGCAGCCGTGTTCTCTGCTCCTCTTCGTTCCAGCAGCTCATCAGCATCTTAAATCACATGGGCGAGCTTTGCTTATTCCTATAAATTCCCCCCCTGCCCCCTTCTAACTGTATCTTACAGCAAGGGACAGCCCTCTGCTTGTTTGCCCACCAGTCCCTACCCGTTCCCAAGGCTCATATTTAATCTCTGGTCTGCAAGCACGAAATGCAGGCAGGGAGAGCCAGCCCGCGGAAAAAAGAGCCAGCCCGCGGTGAGGGGTAATCGCAGGCAGGAGCGGGGTCCAGCCCCGTGGGGCTCTGAAATCTGCCGTGGGTGTCGCGTCCTGCCCCGCCGGGCTGTAGCTCTCGGAAGCGATCAGCCTGCCCGCTTGTAGCTTTTTTCCTACTTGTTAATGGAGAGGATTTTTCACCTTCCCCCGCTATTGATTTTAAAGGACTTTTCCTCTCCTGCAAAGCGTGCGTCTTGTTCAGAAGACCATTTAATTCACTCTTTAATCAAAGAGGGAAGACACCAGAGTATCGGTGCCTGACATCTGTGGCTGTATAGGAAACCGAGCCACGCATCGACGTGGCTAACCCACCGCAGTGCCGCTTGGTAAACCAGCTGCCCCGGGGAAAAGCTAGCCAGGATGCAGAGGGGCTTAGAGGAGCATCGCCCCGGTCACTGTCCTTTTGGGTGGATCCCATCTCCATCTCGTGCCTCGGTTTCCCCACTGACTTTTTTCTGGTCTATTTACATTACAGATGCTCACCCAGCCTGGCTCTCCGGAGGTTTGTGTGTATACAGAGGAGGGGTCTCAGTCTTTGCAGGCCTTACTGGTGCTGTACTGATAATGATAATGGGTGCACAGTGGTTAGAAACCAGAACAGGCCAAATTGGTTAACGCACACGTACCTCAGGGGCTCGTCTTGTAGCTGCACGAGCAGCATCACCAGAGCAGACAGACGCCACTGCGCATCCGCCGATGCTTGCCAGGAAGCCGGTTTCTGGAGAGTAACTGGGAGCTTCAGGGTAAAAAATTCTGTTTTAAAATCCTGGACTATTATCCCCAAAGCTCCTCTTAAACAGAGAGAGTAGTGACAGGTTTCCTGACTGTCCCCCAGTTCTGGCAGACCCTGCTTTTTGGCCATCCGTCACGCAGTCGGTACTGAACGCGAACATCCTGCAGCTCTGACGGCCCCTGAAGGCCATGTCGCTACCGAAGGGCCCGGGAAGGAAGGAAAAGTGCGGTTTTGCTAGTGCTGCTTGTGCAAAGGGAAAGCTCTGGCCCCGCTGGGGTCTAAGGCACCGTGTGCTGTTACCTGGTCAGGTGGAGGGAGGGGAGGGAAAAAAAGCGGGGAGCAACATGCCAACCAGAATATGCCGGCTGAAATTCGTACACCTGAACCTTCCAGCCTAAAAAACCACTTGTGCAGGGCAAAATTTGTGTTCAGGATAGAGCAGCTGTTCCGAGTAGCGGTTCCAAACAATTTCTGCGGTAAAAAAGCCTTAGTGAATGCCCGCTATCACCCAGTTTTTCACCGAGCGGTGTGCCAGCAGGGCCCGCACACAGCGCGGGCCGTCTGCTTGGCAGTTCCCAGGTCTGTCGCTGCAGGCGGGTGTTTAGAGGGTCCCTAATGACACCGCAGTGCGCTTCAGCATCTGGCTTTCGCAGTGAATCTGTCTCCCGTGCTGTCCCTCCTGAGCGAGGCATCCGTGCGCCGGTGGTGCCCGGGGAGCGGGCGCGGGCAGAGCCGCCATGCTCGGTTGGAGCCGAGGACGGATTCTTCCTCCGGACTGGAGGTGTTGGCTCGTGTTCGCTACGCGGAAAGGCAAAGATGCCGTCTGTTTTTGGAGGAACTGATTCGGGGAGGGAGGGGTGCAACCTGACGGGTGCAAGCTGCAATCGGCTCCCCCCCCCCCGG